CACGGCTGAGCCTGGTGGGGGGTCTGGGGGGCGTGGGGGGTCACACACACACGGGGGGGCTGCAACCACCGGGGCTCAGCTCAGCTCTGCAGAGACCCCCTGGCTGGGCCTTGGGGGTGCCCAGGGAGGGGACTGGGATGGAGCTGGGACTGGGATGGAGCTGGGACTGGGATGGAGCTGGGACCTGCCCGGCTCCGGGGAAGGGGCCCAGACCTGATGTGGGTGGGGGTCGGGGGGCTCTGGCCCCTCCTCTGTCGGGCTCAGCGCGGCGCTGGGCCGGGTTTATCGGCACTAGGCCGGGTCTGGACATGCCACGGACACGGACTATTTACAGGGAATAAATATGGAGCTGGAGCTCAGGGCTGCCGGCACCTCCACTCGCTCTTCTCCAGCTGGTACTGGAATGCCTTCCTGGGGAGAGGACACGGGGTGTCAGTGGGAACAGGGACATCAGTGGGAGCAGGGACATCAGTGCCACCCCAATCCCTGCCCCACTCCCACCCCCAAACCCCAGGGCACACCCAGCTGTCCCCCACTCCCCATCCCCACCCCGTACTCACTCTCTCCCGGGTGGGCTGGGCCTGCAGACCAGGCCGGCCTGGCAGGGGCACACCTGGTTGATGCTGAAGGCGAGACCCCCGGGGGGCACGTGGCAGCTCTGGGCCAGTGCCAGGCGCCGCTGGCACACGAGCTCCCCGTGCTGCCGGGCACAGCAGCTGCCCGCCCCGCAGTCCTCGTCCCGCTGGCACCGGGCTCCTGGCAGGGCAGAAAACCGCGTTAGGAGAGGGGGACCCCAACCCTGACCCCAAGTTTGGGGCTCCCCATCACCCCTCGGTGCAGCACCACCCCATCAGCACCTCGCAAAGGTGACACCGGGGGGGTTGTCCCCTTGTGTCCCCCCCACCCCAGAGCCCCCACTCACCCTCCTGCCCGTGGGGCACGGGCTGCTGGCACTTGCCGAACATGCAGAGGAGGCCGTGGGCGCAGTGGGGGTCGCGGCGGCAGAATTGCCCCTCGGGGCGGGTGGGCAGGCACAGCCCGAAGTGCTCGTCACAGAAGTGGCCCTGGGCACAGGGGGCGGCCGGGCTGCAGGGGGTCACCTGCAGGAGGGTGGTGGGGGGAATATGGCACATCAGGGACGGCCAGACCCCATCTCCCAGCCCTTTCCTGGCCCTTATCCCTCACCCCATCCCTGAGCCGTTTCCCGCAGTGACTCCAAGGTGTGATATGATTTTTTTTTTTTTTTTTTTTTTAAATGGGAAAAGAAAACGTGGGCGGCGCGGGGCCCTAAAAGTGCTGCTCCAGGTGAGGCTCGAACTCACAACCTCGGCATCGCTCGCGTACCGCCCTATAAGTACCGCGCGCTGACCGATTGCGCCACTGGAGCGCCCGGCGCCGCCCGCGCGCCCCGCGCCCCCTGCTGGCCCCGCCCCCCGGGGCAAAGAGACCCCCCGGACCCCCCCACGGGGCAAAGCGACCCCCCCCCGGACCCCCCCACGGAAGCACCATGTGGGGTCACTGCCACGCCGGGTGAGCGTTCTGTGCCCACCCCGCCTTCCAACCCATCCCCCGCCCCTGGGGGGCTGCAAATTCTGCACCCATCCCTGTGCCCGCCCCTGGGTCTAAACCCACCTTTCACCGCTGCGCCCACCCTCTGTGCCCACTCTGGGTTTTAATGCACCTCCCACCCCTGTGCCCACTCTGGCTGCAAATTCCGTGCCCAGCCTGCTCCAAACCTCCCTCTCAGCTCTGCTGCCACCCCACCTCCCACCCCTATGCCCACTCTGTCCATCCCCCCTCTCAGCCCTGCTGCCACCCCACCTCCCACCCCTATGCCCACTCTGTCCATCTCCCACCCTGCTGTAGCTGCACTCCCTCCAGGACCCCCGGGGGTCCCTCATCCCTCACCTCCTCCATGTCGCTCCCTGGGCCGGGGTTTCTGCCCAGGGCGGCCGCATCCGGGGGGTGCTGAGGCAGGGAGAACATCCATGCCCAGAGGTGCCCGGCGGCGGGGGGCAGGAGCCAGGCGACGAGGCAGAGGATGGCCGGGGATGTCACCATGGTGCTGGTGCTGGTGCTGGTGCTGGCGGCGGCGGCTCGGCCGGGGCCAGGGGTTTATGTAGCCCCGGGCTATCTCGGCCCCCGCTGCTAAAACTGTTTGCCCACCTAATGGGGTGGGAGGAGGCAATCAGGGGTTAAGGGATTTACATAATTGCCAGCCTTCCCCTCGGGGGGTGGCATCAGCCCCAGGGCAAACAGCCCCCCCGGAGCAGTCTGGCTCCGGCGCCAGCCGTGGGTGCAGCCGGGGATGCCCCCACAGCTCAGGAGCGTGGTATGTGCAGTTTGGGGTGCCCTGTGTGCCCCCACAGCCCAGGGGGGTGGTATGTGCAGTTTGGGGTGCCCTGTGTGCCCCCACAGCTCAGGAGCGTGGTATGTGCAGTTTGGGGTGCCCTGTGTGCCCCCACAGCCCAGGGGGGTGGTATGTGCAGTTTGGGGTGCCCTGTGTGCCCCCACAGCCCAGGGGGGTGGTATGTGCAGTTTGGGGTGCCCTGTGTGCCCCTATAGCTCAGGGGGGCGGTGGGTGCAGCCTGGGGTGCCCTTTCCAGCCCCCCATGTCTTGGGGTCCTCCCCCGTGCCCCTCCGATCCCCCCCACAGCTTCGAGGGGGTGGTGGGTGCAGCCTGAGGTCCCCACCAGCCCCTCAGATCCCCCCATAACTCAGGGTGACCGTGGGTGTAGTCTGGGGTGCCCTCTGTCCCCCCACAGCTCAGGGGGGTGGTATGGACAGTTTGGAGTTCCCTGTGTCCCCCCCAGCCCCTCGGGTACCCCCACAGTTCCCTGGTTTGTCCCCCCACCCTTTCCCGGGGTATTGGGACACGGGACAGTGGGGGACAAAGGCTGGGATCCCCGGGACGGACAGCGGCGGGCACAGAGCTGGCATCTGACCCGTGTTTGTGTGTCCCCCGTGTCCCCCCCCTCCCGGTGCATCCCCATCCTCCATCCCGCCCCATCCCGGGGTGACGGGATTCGCACCTTCCCTAACGCTCCTGCAAATGGGGTGTTTGCCCACCCCGCCCTTATCTCCCGGGCCGGCGCTGGGACACGGCCCCCCTCCAGCGCATCCCCCAGACGGTGTCACCTCCGTGTCCCCAAACACGCGGGGGGGCTCAGCCGGGCCCTCCAATACACTTTGGGCCCGTCCACTCCGGGGGATCCCCAGTTCCCAGGGGCACGGGGGACAGGATAGAACCGGGGGGTGGCTGGGAGTGGGGTGCACTGGGGTCTCCGGGGACGTGGGGACCCCCCTCCCTTGGGTGTGGTGTGATTCCCGCTGCCTTCGTGCCTCAGTTTCCCCGGCCGTGAAAAGGGGGATGGCGAGGCCGGGGGGTGACCCAGGGACACGGGGCTCGCACTGGGGTGACCCCAAACCTTTCTCCCGGTGTCCCAGGACGAGCCAGTGCCCGGGACGGGCCACCAGGATCCGCCTCACCCCCCCCCCTCCCTCGCCCCGCGTGTTTGCCCAGCGGCTTTGGGAGCAAATATTGACCCCGCTGCCGGGCACAATCACGGTCGCTGTCCCCATCCGTCCCCCGCTGGCTCCGGATAATCCCCCCCAGCGCCACGGGGACCCCTCCCGGCGGCTCAGCTCCCCCAAAACCCCCGCCCTGGGCTGTCAGGGGAGAGGAGGGGGGTTCCACTCGACCCCAAAACCCTGCGGGGGGACGCACAGCCCGGACCCGCTGTGCGAACACCGGGGGTCCCTCTCTCTGCAGGGGGAGCTTGGAGGAGCTTGACGGTGCCGTGTCCCCCCCCACGACCACTCGCGATGAGAGTGGGGGTCACACCTTGGGGGGGTGGGCTGGACCCGCTGCCCCCCCCCCGCAGCCTCCTGCTGTGCAGGGACACTGGGGGGGGTGTGGAGTGGGTGAAACGGGGGGACACGAGTGTGTGGGTGCGCTGGGGCTGCGCGTGCACGGGTGGGAGTGTCCACGGGTGGGTGTCCAGCCATAGGAACACTCTTATGGACAGCGGCGCGGAGCGCTCCCCATCGGGGGTATAGCTCAGTGGTAGAGCATTTGACTGCAGATCAAGAGGTCCCCGGTTCAAATCCGGGTGCCCCCTCATTTTCCTCCCCTTCCGCGGGTGTCCCCCCCATTTTTTCATACCCTTTTTACTCGCCCCCCAACCCCCCCGGCAGCGAAGGGAGGGCGCGTCCTGCTCCCCCCGCGTCCCCAGCCCCGGGTGTCCCCGCTGGGGACGGTGCTTTGTGTTGCAGGAGGAGGATCCAGCTTTTGGGGATCTCTCTGCCTCCTCAGTTCCGAGCACCCGCAGGACCCCCAAATTGCCCCCCGCACCCCCCGGATTGTTCCTGGGAGGGGTGTAGGTTTTTTTGGGAGGGGTCAGCAGCGCTCCCCAGGCCCTGGGCACGGACACATCCCTTCTGGGGGAGGCTTGGGGGGCTGCACCCTCCTCCTGCCCCGCTACCCAGGGCTGAGCCGCCCACCCGATACCAGGGGTGAGGGGCTGCGGTGCAGCCGGAGACCCCCAAAACGCTGCCCAAATCTTGGGGTGGCCAGAAGCCACTTTGGCTGAAAGGGAGGGGGCGGGGCTGGAGCTTTGGGGGGCTCCCGGGGCTCTGCGGTGCCAGCGGGACCCCCACCTTGTGCCCCTGACCCTGTGCCCCCCCCCCCCGTGCCCCCCAAGCCCCCAGTATCTGCTGCTCTTGCTCCAAAGGGAAAATCCGGGAGGACCGGGAAGGACACAAACATTCCTGCTGAGGGGATGCGTCTCCCGTGGGTCTGTGGATGGGGAGACTCGGGGCAGGGGGGTGCGAGGGGTGGGGGCGATGAGGCGCTGGACCCCCAAAAAGGGGGGCTGCAATGGTCCTGTGGCTTGGGGGGGCCACGTCCCCCCGCGGGGTCGGTGGGCTCGGCCGAACAACCCCCCCACGGCAGCCCACGGTGCCCGCAGTGGGGACGGGGTGGGGGACCCCGAACCTCGTTTGTACCCCCCATAAAAAGGGGGCTGGGGGGGTGTCAGCACCCGGAGATGTCGCTGCGGGGTGGGGGCCGCCAGCCCAGCCCGGGAGGGGGGGGATATTCCCGAGCCCCCCGGGAGCACTGGGGTCCTGCTGCCGTCTCCATCCCCATCCCATCCCAACCCTTCCCAATCCTATTCCCGCCCCCGGCCCCGCCCCCGGCCCCGCCCGGCTCCTCTCGGGCTCCGCTCGGTGCGCGGCTCCCGGGGGTCCCGGCCCATGGCGGGGCGCTGAGCCCCCCGACCCCCAGCTCAGCCGGGGCCGCCGCCCCCCATCATGCGCTGGGGGGGTCTCCTCCTGCTCCTCCTGCTCCGCGGGGCGCTGGGCGCAGGTAGGGGGGCCCGGGGGGGGCGGCGGGCGAGCTGCGGGGGGGACCCCGGCTCTGGGGGCGCAGGGGGGTCCCGGGTGGGCAGCGCCGTGCACGGCCCCGCCGGGGGCGGCCGGCCGGGGGTCCCGGGGGTCTGTACCCCCCTGCTGCTGTGCTCTGGGGGTATCGTCGTGCCCCCCGAGCACGCAGGTGCGTGTCACCCTGTGCCCCAAAGCCGGCGGCACCCACCCGCGCCGTGGGACCTGTCGCGGGGGTCCCGCCCCCCACCCCGTGTCCCCCCCCCCTGCCCCAGCACCTCCACGGCGAAGATGGGGTGCCCGGACCCCCCTATCTGTACAGGGCAGCCCCCTGGGGCAGATGGGGGGCTGTGGGGTGCCCCCACCCGGGATTCCCCCACTCGTGGCACCCCGTGGCACGGCTGGTGCTGTCCCGGCTGTGGGTGCAGCCACCCGGTGAGATTTTGGGGAGCCTTTTCGTGCGTGTGGGGGTCTCTGCTCCTTGGGGCGCCCCACATCCCCCAGCGGGGGTGAGGTGTGGACCTCCCGGTACCCCCAGGGATGGCGAGGGTGACCCCCAAGCCCAGAGCCCCCCTGTGTTGGAGGGGGGGGGGGCACGTGCAGCTCAGCCCTGCTCCCCCTGCCTCAGTTTCCCCTCCCGGAGCTCTGGGAACGTAATCCAGCCCCGGGAGGGGCCCCGGAGCTCGTTAGGCATCAATTAGCAATTCCCTCCCCAGGGGTGAAGGTGGGAGCCCCCTCCTAGGGGCGAGGGGAGCTGCCCGCACCCCCACTTCCCCCCCGAGGGATTTGCTGTCCCCTGGTTGGGGACAGACGCGTCCCTGCCCGTGGGCGAGCGCGTGCCGTCCCCACCGCCCCCGCCCCGCCGGGCTGCCGGGAATCTCATGATTCTCCGCAGATTTGGTCCCAAATGGCTTTTTTACCCCCCCCCCCCCCCCCCCCCTCCCAACCCCGAGTCATGTTTCCGGCCTCCGCTGCCTCCCCAAGGGCTGGAGAGACGTGTCAGGAGGGGACAAGGGACGCGTTTCTTTTGGGAATGGATGCTCGGGGTGTTCCCCGGCACCCGGAGCCCATCCCAGCCGTGGGGAGGGGGCCGATGGCCTGGGGACACGGGGGACACTGGGGCAGCTTCCCCCTCCCTGGGGTCACACCGGTCACGCTCAGGGGCTGCCATTTGGAGGTGTTCTGCCTGCTCACAGCCCTCCATCCCCGCTCTCCTCCCCTGGCCGGGGTCATCTGTCACCTGTCCCCACCCCAGAGAGACCCTCCATCCTCGCAGCGATGCTGCTCATCGAGGCTGAGACCCCCCAAACTCGTGTCACATGACCAGGAGCGTTGCTGGGGGACAGGGCTGGTCCCGGGGGTGGCAGTGGCACCCCACTGACCCCTCCCTGTGCCCCCCAGGACGCCCCCCCGGGAGCGAAGGGCGACGGAGAGCTCGGGATACGCCCGAGGGGACCCGGATCAGCCAGGACCTGGGCGGGGGCAGCCTGGCCATCGACACCCTGCCAGCCAACGAGACACGGATCGTGGTGAGTGGGGGGTCCCCCCCTCTGCCCCCTGCCCGGATCTGGCCAGTGCCCGACCATGAGGGCTATTCCCGGGCTGGGCAGGGAGCTGGATCCCACATCCCAGGGGATAATTACAGCCCAGTGCCCTGGGATTGCTCCGAGCCCTGCGGCCTCCACAGCCCTGCCAGGCCCCAGGGCTGGAAATCCTGGGATGCTTTGCTTGTGGGTGCCACGTGTGCCACGGGGACGATGCCACCGTCCCCCGATGACCTCATGGGGGCTGTGTGTGTGGGGGGGGTGTCTCTGTCCCTGTGTCACCACTAACGAGTCGAGCAGCAGCAGCGTCACCTCCTGGGACACCTCCCCCGGCCGAGCTGTGCCTAATTACCCGCCCTCAATTAGCTCCCGGTTATTTGTGGCAGGGCCGTGTGTCCCTTGGCAGCCAGGGGAGTTTCCCGAGCTCTGGGGATGGGGGGGATGTGTGGGTGGTTGGGTTTTGGTGGAGGGTGACTTGTCCCAGTGCTTTTGGTGCCCCCGAGGCGCAGCAGGCAGGGCACAAACAGCCCTGGCTGCTTCCACTCTGCTCCAGCTCATCCACCGGGGGATGAAGAAGGGACAGGAACCAGGAAAGTCCCAATGTGGAAGTGCTTAAAAATACCCCAAACCAACCCAAAACCACCGGTGGCCACCAGGGCGTTTTTGGAGATGCCGGGGGAGCCGCAGGGAGGGCGTGACGGTGCCTGTGGTTCCCTGGAGGAAAAGGCAGTGATTTCCTCAGGCTTTGGGATCCGCTCCAGGAGCGGGGCCGTGGGTGAGGTCACAGGTGCATCTCACCCTGTGCCACCTGCAGAAGGTGGGATCCCACCTTGGGAGGTGCCAGTGCTGGGTCTGAAGGGGTTTTCCCCTCCTCTCCTCCCAAAATATTCCGGGTTAGGGGTGCAGAGACCCAGCAGGCCCCGGGGTCAGGGGGGCTGGAGAGGGGGAGATGCTGGGGGTCAGAGGGGGTTTTGGGGGGTCAAGAGGGGGTTTGGGGTCAGAGGGGGCCGAGCAGCAGATGGGGCCGAGCGGCGAGCGGGGCGCTGTGCCAGCTGCTGGCACGGAGCGCTGGAGCAGAGCTTTCCCAAGGAAAATTAAGATGCTTCCCATCCTGCCCCCCACCTCGGTGTGAAGTGGCCTCCCCTGACAGGCGATGGCTCCCAGCTGGGTGTCCGTCAGTCCGTCTGTTCCCGTCGGAGAGGCCACGGCGGGGCTGGTGACACTGCCCTGGTGACACATCCCACGTCCCTCTCCCCCTGCTGTGCCCCCCATCCTCACCCCCATCCCCATCCTCCCTGCCCGCTGGCAGCAGCGTCTCGGCCGCTCTCCCCGAGCTGCTCGTTTCCAAGGTTAATCATTTCCTCTGGGCTTGTTTTGCTTCGCTCGCAGTGGTCACTTCAGCTGCAGCTCCCAGCCCCTGGCTCTGGAGCGGGATACTTTCTTCTTCCCGGGAATGTTGCCTGTGCTGAGCCCTCTCGTGAGTCACCCCTGGCTCTGGCCAGCCCTGTGTCCCTGTGGGATTCCCTGCGCCTTCTCCAGCTGCTTCAGCATCCCCCCCCGGGGCTTTTCCAGGATGGATTTAACCTCTGCTTTGTGCCCAGACCACACCCCAGCCGCTCAGGGGCTCACATGCCCATGGAGTGAGCCGGGTGACCCCCTGTCCCTGCAGGAGGACAACCACAGCTATTACGTGTCGCGGGTGTTCGGCCCCGGCGAGGCCCAGAGGAAGGGGCTGTGGGTGGACATGGCAGCCGCCAACGGGAGCCAAGCCAAGATCCACGGGATCCTCTCCAACACTCACCGCCAGGCCTCGGTGAGCGGCCCCCTGCCCCCTCTCCCAGCTCGCTGTGGCAGCAGAACCCCTTCCATGTCCCCCCTGGCAGCCCACCCGGGACGGGGGAAGTGTTTGGGTGCCCCTCGCCCGCTCCGGGGATGAAGGGGATGAGCACCCACGGGACCCCACTCCCGTCCCTCTCCCACCCTTCCAAGCACCATCCAGGGCACAGAGCAGTCCCCCACACACTCCCTGGGGTGTCTTCCCAAGGGCCCAGCGTGGTTCTCACCTCACCTCATCCTCCTGCAGAGGATCATCCTCTCCTTTGACTTCCCCTTCTACGGCCACCTCCTGCGGCAGGTCACGATAGCGACGGGCGGTGAGTCGGGATGGGATGGGATGGGATGGGATACAACCCTTCTGACCTTCTCCCTGCACCCCCAAATCTCCCCCTGCTGCTGCTGCTGCTGCTCAGGGAGTCGGGTGCTGCTGGAGCCTCAGGTCCTCTAGCAGTTTGCGGGGGGGGGGGGGGGTCACACAAGCCTGGAGGAAATCCAGGAGGGGGTGCTGGGGGTTAAAAAGGGGGGTGGATGAAGGAGGGAGGTAGGGAGGGTGCTGGGGGGTGGTGAGGGGGAGTCCGTGCTGCTTCACCCTCTGCCCGCTCAGGTTTCATCTTCGTGGGGGACGTGATCCACCGCATGCTCACGGCCACCCAGTACATCGCCCCCCTCATGGCCAACTTCAACCCCAGCTACTCCCGCAACTCCACCGTGCAGTACCTGGACAACGGTGAGTCCTGCCCTGCACGGCCCCTGCTCCCGCTCCTGCCTCAGCCACGGGGCAAGGCTCGGCTCTCTGAGCCCAAACAGGGACACCTGGGGCTGGTCATCCCCCCCCCGGGGGGGTTTGGGGTGGGTTTGGGGTCAGGGGATCTGCTCCCAGCAGAGCGCTGGAGGTTGGGGGATGAGATGCCTTGGAGGTCCGTGGGTGGAAGAGGGTGGGTCAGGCTGGTGGGATGAGGAGGGAGGAGAGGCCTGACCCGCTCTGGTCACCCCTCCAGGGACAGTTTTTGTGGTGCAGTGGGACAAGGTGTATCTGCAGGGGAAGGAGGACCTGGGCAGCTTCACCTTCCAGGCAGCCCTGCACAGCAGCGGCAGGATCGTCTTTGGCTACAAGGAGGTGAGAGATCCTCCCCCTCCTGGCACCTCCAGCAGGCACCCAGGGGCATCAGCTGCCTCCTCCTGTGGGGGAAGGCAGGGCAAGAGGGTCCCCACGGGGGTCCCTGTGGGTCTGGGAGGGGGTTTGGGGTTGTATCTGTTCGCACACTTGGGATGGGCATTCCTGAGGGCCTCTGCAGCGGCACCAGGAGCTGGGAGGGGGCACTGGGATCCATCCTGTGCCGTCTCCCTGGCTGCAGATCCCGGTGCCAGTCCTGCAGATCAGTGCCACCCAGCACCCCGTCAAGGCCGGGCTCTCCGACGCCTTCATGGTCCTCAACCCCTCTCCCGACGTGCCTGGTGAGTCCATGTCCACATGAGCTGCAGCCCCGGGCTGAGCAACCCAGAAAGGCTCTTCCAGCCTCTCCAGTCACGAGGAGCCCAACCCTGCTTTCCCCTGTTATTCCTGGAGCCATCTGGCCCTGGTTTATGATCCATTTACAGCAGGAACCGTGGCCAGCCTGGGTGGTTCCTTCCCCTCCCGCCCCACAGCTGCTCCTCCACTCCACCCCACGGCCTTCCCAAGCCCTGCCCTGGGCTGTGAGGGGAGAGGAGATGCAAGAACTGGGCATGAAAAAGCCTCCTGAGGTGGAGAAACGAGGGTTGGAGGGGAGAATGCTCGTCCTGCTCGTCCGCTGGGCCCTGAGTGCAGAGCACGAGGCCCTGCTGGGAGGAGAGGTTGGGTTGTCCATGGAAATGGATGCCAGAGGAGCATCTTGGTTGGTGCCACCCTCTGGGAGAAGCCTGAATCCGGGATAAACCCCAGGATGGCCACCAGGATGAAGGGGAAAGAGAGGGAAGGGGGCAGGGCAGGAGGAGGGGTGGGGAAGGGGGAGGTTTGGGGGGAGCCCCGGGAGGTTCCAGCCCGTGAGTCAGTGAGCAACGACGTGTTTGTTTGGAGCAGAGCAGGGCTGGAGCACGTCCATCAGCACGGCCTCTGGTCAGGGAGAGGGGACAGCGAGCCCTGAGCTCCTCCTGGCAAAACAGAGGAGCAGGGCAGGACCTGTTTAGGCCCAGCCTAACCCCAGGGCTCGGTGTTGCAGAGTCCCGACGCCGGACCATCTACGAGTACCACCGCGTGGAGCTGGACACCAGCAGGATCAGCAGCCTGTCGGCTGTGGAGTTCACTCCCCTGCCCAGTGAGTGCAGCCCTGGCCCCTTCCCAGCCAGGATCCCACCCTGGGGTGCTGGGAGGGGGATGCCATGCATGGCCTGGCAGGTGGGAGCCTTGGAGCCGTGCAGGGAGGGGGTTGCTGCCAGCAGGGAGCAGTTTGCCCCTGCCCTGGGGTCCCCCCGGCTGTCGCTGGACCTCTGGTGGATCAACCCCCTCAGAGCCAACCTCAGCCAGCAGAAACCCCTCCTTGGTGTGCTCCCTAGCTGGGAATGCAGCAGAGCTCAGGAGCTGGCGCAGGAATTGCTGATAAAGGAGGGATCAGCAGGAAATCCACCTTCCCTCTGCTCAGCGGTCCCCACCGAGGGCAGCGGTGCCAGCCGGGATGGAGCTGCTCCTGGTGCTCCCCCAGCACCTTTCCCCCCCACCAAGAATCCCTGGCTCTCCTTTCTCACCACCCCTCAGTTCCTCCCTCCCTGCCGCTGCCAGCAGCTCCCATCCCAAAATCCCTCCCCTCTGCTCCGCGAGCTGCAGCTGATCCTGCTGGACCCCGGTTCACGCCGGGTCTGCACACACGAGACATTTCCAACACCCCCACACCGAGCTGAAATGTCTGAGAGCTGCTGTGGAACAGGCCCATTTTTAGTGGCTGGCTCCAAGGACACTCGGGCACGAGGGAGAGCCGTCAGCAGCCGGTAAATGCGGGCTGAGAGTAAATCTGCCATGGAGACACCGAGGGGCTGCACTAAACGCTCTCCCCGGGGTGTTTTATGACAATTTTAACAGCAGGCAGGTTATTGCAGGCAGAACATAAATAACCATTCTGCAATAACTCTGTTTTTTTGTTAGTTGTGTTTTTTTTTTTTTTTTTTTTTCTTTTTTCCTCCTGAAGATTTGCTGGTTTGGTTTTGCCTGGGTTTTTTTTTTCCCCCTGGCAGCTCGTGGAGCTGAGAGCAATGTCAGCCAGGGAGCTGCAGAGAACCACTCTCTGCTTCCTCTTCTGGAAGAGGCCAAGGCCCTCCTGAGCATCTCTGCTGGACAGGGGGACACCAAGTGCTGGTGTTCTTGCAGGACCACGTAGTGTGGACTCAGATTTGGGGGGGGCTTTAGCTGTTTGTGCCGGTCCTGCCTCCCCAGGAACACCCTGTGCACGATGAGAAAGGGCCAAAAGCCTCACAGGGGTTTGAATTCCCAGCTAAACAGAGCGGTGGGAGGTTTGTGGATGGACTGGGAGCCCATCCTGCAGGTCCCTGGCAGGCAGGTTGGGCTGGGAGACTCAGTGGCTCTCAGAGCTGCTCCCCTGTGCCCGCACAGATGTTGCCATCTGCCTGGAACGTCTCTCCTCCCTCTTTCCCAGCCTGTCTCCAGCACCAGAGCTGTGAAACGTGCGTGACCTCGGAGCTGACCTTCAACTGCAGCTGGTGCCACGTCCTGCAGAGGTACCTGGGATGGGTTTCCTTCCCACCCCCTCCCTTCCCAACCTTTCCAGAGCTGGGGGAGGGAGCACAGGGCCAGGGCTGGTGGCTGGGTCAGCAGTGCTGCGGTTTGGGGTGGTTTTTTTTTTTTAGTATTTTCCCTCTTTTTGCCGTGTTTTGGGTCAGCTGGGTGCTGCTCCTGCTCTCACAGTCTCAGGTTACAAGCCACTGCAAGGGGACATTTTGGGGGGTTTTTGGTCCAGGAACAAGCTGAGACCTGGAGCAGGACTCACATTTCTGTCAGGGAGCTTGAACACAGGGAAAACCTGTCCTGACTCGGGCTGGGATCAGACAGAGGTGCAGGGGAGGGGGGCTGGGACAGGCTCCAGGCAGGTCATGGAGCTGGGAATGCTCCTCACCCCCCAGCTGGGAGGGACATACCCTCCTGTTTTGGGGTGACTGGAGCCTCTGGTGCTGCCCCCTGCTCTCCTGCAGCTCCAGCAGCTCCATGCAGAGCACGGGAGCTTAATGAGATTGTGCTGAACTCTTTATTTGGAGCTGGTGGCAGGGGAGGGGACCCAATAACACAGATCCTCACGTGGAAATCCCGCTCTGCCAGGGGAAGGCACAGGCTCCTGCCCCCCTCCCCAGCCCCCTCCTTCCAGCAGGGGACAGGAAAAGATCCCGAGCCATCAGCAAAGCCACCTGTAAATCAGCATCGATTCCCTGCCTGTTGTGAGCCACAGGAATGTCATTTTTCAGTGGCAGTGGTGGCTTCAGAGCAGAGGATGGGATGTTCTCACACCTGCCTTGGTAGCAAAATTGAGCCTGGGGTTCAGTGGCTTCGTCTGGGTCTGGTTTGGGCTGAACCCCAGGGGTCCAAGCGCTTGGTTATTCTGATTGTTCCACATTTATGGTGTTTGAAAATCTGATTTTATCGTATCATGGATTGCTTTGGGTTGGAAGGGGACCTTAAATCTCGTTCAGTCCCACCCCCTGCCACGGGCAGGGACACCTTCCAGTGTCCCAGGTTGCTCCAGCCTGGCCTTGGACACTCCCAGGGCTGGGGCAGCCACAGCTTCTCTGGGGGCAACCTGTGCCAGGGCCTGCCCACCCTCCCAGGGAAGGATCCCTTCCCAATATCCCATCTAACCCTGCCCTCTGGCAGTGCAAGGCTTCAAGCTGCCCTTTTCCATCTGCCCAAATCCCCAGCTGTTGGTGGGGTTGGCTCTTGCCCCTCCTGCCCCGGTGATTCTGTCCCTCCCGTCGCGGCTCAGCCCGAGGAGAGTTCGGGTTTCAAACAGGAACCACAGGTGGGAAAAAAAACTGGCAAGCTGGAGCAAACAGACTCAGAAAGCCTTTGCTGGCTTTCAACCAGCTTGGTCTTGCAAAGCCAAGCTGATCTGCCCCAAGGGAGCTCCAGGGCTGGAGCTGCATCCCGGCTCCAGCTTTGTGGGTCCATCCCAGGAGTCCTCCCCTCTCTCTCTCCTTGGGCAGTGCAATCTGTATTTTCACCTCTCCTGAGCCCACAGTTGTGACAGGGACTGTACTTGAAGCAAAGGGCCTGAAGTTTTCCGTGGTTTCTCCTCCTTTCCTGGTTGGCCCTTGGGTGAATTTGTGTGACCTGAACCCCCCCTGGTTCAGATTTTGCTCCCTCCCTCCCCCCACACCCCTCCCCGAGACTTTCCAAAGGTCAGGGAGCTGTTCCATTCCCTGTTCCTGCAGGGATTTCTCTCGCTGCTGTCTGCCTGATGTCATTTATAATTTCTTTAGTGTGTTTTTCCTGTGCAGATGTTGCTGGAAAAAACACCCAGCAAGCCTCGTGGAGCTCATGGCCTTGCCCTGGCACAGAGTCCAGGGAGTGGAAACTCAAACTCAGGCCATATATTTTCCCTATTTTCTGCCTCTCCTTTTCCCCTGGAAGAGTGGTGTTGACCCTTCTCCTCCTCTGGGAAGGGGAATATTTAGGTTCTTCCAGCACAGCTGTGCTGGAACCCCCCCCGTCTTTTGGGTGTCACCTTGGATATCACGAGCTGTGATTTCTAAGAGCATTTCCTGCCACTTTTGACCCCACTTTTAACCCCACAGGTGCTCCAGCGGCTTTGACCGGTACCGTGAGGAGTGGCTGTCCTATGGCTGTGGCCAGGTGAGCCCGGGGGGATCCCTGCTCAGCTCCTGAGCTGGGAATGCTGCTGCTCTCCAGGGGAATCCATGGCCATGGCCCAGCTCAAAGAGTGAATGCTCAGCTCTGCCTGACCCGTGGTGTTTGGAGTCAGACTGAGTATCCCTTTAGAAATCCCTTTATTCCCTTCAGATATCCCTTTATTCCCTTCAGATATCCCTTTATTCCCTTCAGATATCCTTTCAGATATCCCTTTGTTCCCTTTGGATACACCTGTAGATATTAATTTATTCCACTTAAATATCCCCTTATTCCCTTTAGGAAGCCCTTTAGATGTCACTTTATTCCCTTTAGATATCCCTTTATATCCCTTTATCCCCTTTTGGTGTTCTTTTATTCCTTTTGGGTATCCCTTTATATCCCTTTATTCCCTTAGGATAATATCCCTTTATTCCCTGAGGATAATATCCCTTTATTCCCTGAGGATAATGTCCCTTTATTCCCTTAGGATAATATCCCTTTTTTCCCTTTATTTACCCCTTTCCCATTACAGCAGGACCACTGACCCCCTTAACAGAGGATGCCTGGATTGGGAGAGTTAAAGGATGTTCCATCCAGTCCAGGGTTTTCCTTGCTGGTGCCTTTTCTGGGTGCTGAAAGTCACCAAACGGTGCAGTTGGAGCATTCTGGGGTGTTTTTCCTCCTCCTCCTCCTCCCAGAGCATGACTCTTACTCACTCCCAAGCAGGAAGGAGCGAGCCCTGTTTTCGTCCTTGTGAGCACAATTATCTCCTCCTTGGATGAACTCCTTCCTTTGTCTCACACAGATCAGCTGGAGAGAAACATCTGGTTCTGTTTTGGGCTATTTTTTTTTTTCTTTTTTTTCCTTTTGGTGTGGTGTTGGTTTGATTATTTTATTTTATTTTTTTTTCCTCCCCCTCTGCTGAAAACTCAGTTTTGTTCCCCGTTACCCAGAGGGTCGAGTGAGGGAAACGGAGGTCACCGGACCTATGTGAGGTCACCCAGTGATGCACAAAGTTCCCTGCCAGGTCCTTGTCCTTTGTTCCTGCCTAAGCACTTCCCAAACTTTTCCTCCTCTTCCCCAACCTCTTCTGGACCTGTTTTCCCCTGCAGCGTTGGAGCCTCAGCAGCTTTGGAAGCACAGCCCTCCCCTGGCATTGCTGCTGGAGGAAAACTGGGCGAAACCAGCTCTTCTCCCTTCTCCTTGCAGTCAGATGAGAAGACCTGTGAGGATCTGGCAGAGGGCAGCCACTACTCAGCCCCTCCTGACAGCTCTTTGTCCCCTCAGACCGAGGGTGTCACCCCCTCCACGTCCTCGCTCTTCATCGACAGCCTCACCACCGAAGGTAGGGGGGACATCCCGTGCCTGGGGATTATCCCTGGGAAAGGTCCTGCACTCCAGGCCCTCACAAAGCCAGTTCCTGTCCAAAGGAATCCGAGGACAACGTGGGTTTTGAAGGAGAATCGTTGGGTTGGAAGGGACCTTAAGAATCTCCTCCAGTCCCACCCCCTGCCATGGTTCCAGTAGACCAGGTTGCTCCAAGCCCTGCCTTGGGCAGGGGTGAGGACAGAGGGGGATGGAAAAGGGAAGGAAGGGCAGCCAAGAGGTGAGGCCTGGGGGGTTTGTGGCACAGGGAGGGCTGAAATCCTCCAGTGGGAAGAGCTCTGGAGTCATTCCATCTTTTTTACCCATTTGTGAAGGTCAACAGCAGCTAATCCGTGGTGGGCAGAACCCACAGCCTCCTCCAGGGGTTAATCCTGCAGAGTGGGGCTCAGGCTTTTCCTGGGCTTGGTTTAGCTGGAGGCTCAGGGGCTGCCAGGACTCTCAGCCTGGAATTAATCCAGGTGATTGCCCTCTCCCCTTGGGAATGCTGCTCGTTCCAGCCTCGGAAAGCTCCACATAAAGCCCTGGAGTTTCCCTGGAGACCCCCCTGCTCTAATCCCATTAACACGGGGCTGGCTCCTGGATCCTCCCGGCAGGTATCACTCCAATTTCCCTGCTTAATAGTCCCTAACGCCGGCTGCTAATTAGGATAAAGAGAAGGGAACATTGGTAATTGTCCTTCAGCCACGGGTGGGGGAATGGAGCTGCCAGGGCTGACTTTGGAAGGAGCAATTAAAGGGAGGGGCGGGGGGTGGAACTCCACCAGGGAGAGCGTTTTCCAGCTCATCGCCGGTTCTTGGGGAAAAAAAACCCAAAAAACAAAAAACAAAAAGCAAGAGGCTTTTCTGTGTGACACAGCCGAGCGTGAAGTTAATTTGGGATCCTGGAAGGGAACAAACAGGGAAGAGAGCTGGGGCTGAGGAGACAGCAAAGGAACCAGCAAGAGTGGGGGGGACCCAGCCCTCGGTGTCCTCCCTGGATCGGTGTCCTCCCTGGATCTACCTCCTCCCCAACCAACCCAAATCCCTGGATCTGTGTCCTCCCCAACCAGCCCTGTTCCTTGGATCCACATCCTCCCCAGCCAGCCCAAATCCCTGGATCTGCTCCTGGAGATGCTGGTGGACGTGTCTGACTCACCGGCCGTGTGTCAGCGCTGCCTCCGGCGCACGTGGAAGCCAAGCAGTGGGAATTCTGGAGCAGGATTTCACCCTGGTGAGGGTGGGGGTGTGGGGGACCATCAGGAGACAAAGAAAACCTTGCACCAAATATCCTGGTCCTTCCAGGGTGAGGCCAAGAATGGAAGCGGATTTTGGGGCCCCGTGGAAAACCCCTCCGGTGTAACATCCCCCTGATTTATTTGGGATGTGGCCTGAACACGGACACCCACATCCAGCATCCACTTATGGTTCCAACCTTGCACTCTGAGCATGCTGAGTGACCCCAGATATTTGTGCTCCAGGTGCCACCTCGGTGAAGGAAAATGATCCACATCCCACCCGCTCTCACTGTTGTTTTCTGTGTTCCTCCCTCTTCCACGAACAGGGATTTAAAACGATCCAGAGATCCCATCCCAGGGGGATGGAAGCAGGTGGGAAACATGCAGGGGAGAAAGCTCCTAATTTTCTTTTTTTTTAATGCCCTGTTTTCTCCTTTCAGACGACACGAAGCTCAATCAGTTCGCAGGAGCAGAGGGTAAGCCCTTCCCCTCCTCCCTGCCTGCTCCAGGGGAACGCAGCTTTCCCTGGATGCCAGTGGTCAGCAGGGGGGGCAGGTGAACCCGAGAGCAGAGGGATTGTCATCAAGATAACATTCCCGTGGTCCTCACCCTGGTTAATGCAATTCCAGACAGTGAAAAGTGAGAGTCTGCGATGATCTGGTTTTACCCTGGTGCTGTTTGTCCACTTCTCAGACAGGGAGTTTTCTCCTTCCACGTAATTCCCTCTATTTGCCATATTTTCTCAGACACAAAGTCCTTTTCCCTTCGAATTTCCCCAGCAGGGCCAAAGGGCAGCCTAAAATCCAAATATAAAGTGTCCTCCCTGTTCCCTGAATCCGTGGCCAGCCCCGCTCTGTCCACCAGGGAAGTGAACTGCTGCCATAGCGCTCTTCCCAATTCCAGAGGCTGGGAAGGATCCAAGCCCTGCTCCCTGATGTCAGGCCCTGTGTGTGCTTTTTCTCTGGGAGGAGCTCAGGGAAGTCCAACTGGCTGAACTGGGCTCAGGATCGGGCCCCGGAGCCTTTGGAATCCACGTTATTCCCAGTTTGCTCCCAAATGCCCGGTGATGTCCCAGGGTGCCACATCCCCCCCCTGCAGCTCTGTGCAGTTGCTGAGGGGTCAGCACCGCTCCAGACCCAGCTGGATCCTGTTTTCCAGGCATGGGGAGCAGCCTCCCTTCCAAGACAGCCCCGATTCCCACCGGCACCATCGTGGGGATCGTCCTGGCCGTGCTGCTCGTGGCCGGCATCATCCTGGCTGGGATCTACATCAGCAGTCACCCCACCTCCAACGCCGCCCTCTTCTTCATCGAGGTGAGTGCAGAACCTCAGCCCTGCAGGCTTTTCCCTCCCTCTGCCATCGCCAGCAATCCCAGCCTTCCAGAGGGGAGCAGGGAGCGACGACACCTTGGGAGGGTTCACATCCGAGTTCCTTTCCGTGCTCCTCCGGTCACGGCTGATCTCCCAACCTCCTGCTGATGCTGTTCCAGCTCAGCCTCCCTCCTTCCCACCCGGTTTTATTTCGCTCCCTGTCACACACTGCCTGTTTTCCCCCATGGAATGTCAGGCCCTTCCACCTGCTCCGTGAGCAGCCGACGCTCAGCCTGGCCCGGGGGCTCCTCCGAATTGCCCGGCTGGGTTTTTGTTGCCTAAAAATTGTCAGCCTTCCCTGCTGGGTGCCATCAGCTGCTGGGGGAGGTGGGGTTGGGGGGTGTGGGAATGCTGTGAAGGCAGGAATTTAATTCTGGGGGTGATGGGGGGTCCAACAATCCCCATCTGCTGCCGGAGCCAGAGCCGGTGCCGAGGCAGCCGGGAGTGGGCTGGAGCCTGGCACGGGAGCTGCTGCCAAGGGATGAGCAACACTCAGCCCTCAGCCTCCCCTTATCCCTTTTTCCTGGAGCTCTTCTCCTCCATCTGTCCTGTGTGCAGGGGAGAGGCTGCAGAGGATCAATCTGCGTGGCCCCTTCCATTCCCTCCCCACTCCCCATTTTAGTGGCTCCGCTCGGTGACTTCAGTGCGTCCCCACGAACCCTTTTTAAAGCCCGAATCAACCCTTTAAATCTTATTTTTTTAAACAAAAGCTCAACCTCTCCCCAGGAGGACGTTGTTGGTGTTCCCAGGGCCCGGTTGTTCCCAGGATGGGGTGTGCAGGGCTCTGTCCCAGCTCCTGACGTGCCCTCCTTTCTGTCCCCAGCGGAGGCCGCACCGCTGGCCTGCCATGAAATTCCGGAATCACACCCACCACGCCACCTACGCCGAGGTGGAAGCAGCCAGCCAGGAAAAGGAGGGATTTGTGGAAGCAGAGCAGTGCTGAGCGCCCCCCCCCCCGCCCTCCATCTCCAGCCCCAGCCTTGCATCCCGGACCTCCCGTCGTCCCACGTGTCGGAACCTCCCGCCTTCCTCCCGCAAAGTCTGACTCGGAGAAGAATCAGCAAGGAGAGGGGGAAAAAAAAAAAACAAAAAAACACAAAAGACCCAAAATGGAGAGTTTTTTCAAGGAATGGGGCAGGGAAGGAGGAGGCTGGATGTGCCTGGATCCTCCTGGATCCTCCTGGATCCTCCTGGATCCACCCTGCCTCCAGCCTGGGTGGTGGTGGTGGGGGTTTTTTTACCTTGGTGAGGGTTTTGGTTGTTTGGGTTTTTTCCCCCCTCTTCCCTCCTTCACCAGAGCCTGAACAGCAGCAGAAACGGGGGGAAAAACCTTGTTACGGGGGTGGCTCGAGTGGCAGGTTCTTGAGGAGCAAAAGAGAAGCTTTTTGGGGCGGCTCTGGAATGCTCAGGAACGTCGTGTTGGTGCCTCTTCCCTCTCCTGGAGTGGTTGGGAAGAGGGATCAGATGTGGTGGTGGCCCAGGAGGGGACAGGTTGGCTCTCCAGGGCTCCTCTCCCATCCCCTCACCCCCAGCTCTGGCCCTTTCCCCCCTTTGCCTTCTTTAATTGACCTTTAATTTTGTCTTCACGGCTCAGAAGCCTCAAGTCCTGGTTCTTCTCCACCACCTTGGATCCAACTCTCCCTTCAGAGCACCACCTTCCACCCCCTCCTCTGGAGAAAAGGGCACCCTGATCTATTTTAAGGACAAAACCCTGCAGAGGATTCACCTCCAGGATTTTCGTGAGCCAATGGCTTTGATGGTGCTTTTTGACCTCTAATTAGTTTGCTAAATTACTCATTATGACCTTTCCCCTAAAGGAGACAGAGAGCAGGGGGGGGAAATATCTGAAATTCCTTCAAAAGACATCCTCACGGCCGCTGATCCAGTGGGAACAGAGTGGGAAAATCCAAGCTCACCCACGGGCAGATAAATGAGGAATGCCCAGACACCCCAGAAGATCAGAAAATCACCTTGCTGACATCATAGCTTTGAGTCAGTGGCATTTTTTCCCTCAGATTTCCCTGATTTTTGTCTTGTTCCACCGCAGTTCAGGCTGAGGGAAAATTTTGTTTCCCCCCACCAGCCCAAGAAGGTGTTGGTTGAGGGGGCTTCTCCCAACCCCCCATTTTATTTTAATTTTCTCCAGTTCCTCAGCTCTTTATCCTGATAATCCTGTTTGGTGCATATTTGATCCACTGGCTGCTTCAGCTGTCACTGGGGGTGTCACTGCCAAAGGCAGGGGATGTCTAATTGATGTTTTCCTTCTCATCTGCTGCATTTCCAGGACCGTTGCAGATAAAAATACGGATTCTTGGTGCCATTTAGACCCCAGATTAGACTTTTCCTGGACCCTCATCTGTAGTTTTTACCCCAAATCTGATCTCCTTTCAAAAGGAACTTTCTCTGGATTTCACTCTTTTACATTTTAACTGTTAAATCAAACAGTTTTAGGCCTTGGTTTTGCTGTTTTTTCCGAACATGAATGCGTGGTAACAGCAAGATTTTGGTTCTTCCTCTTCCCCTGCAACCCCTAGAAGTGCTGGGAAGGATCCAAGAATCCTGAAATGCTGCGAATTTAAAGCAAAACAGACTTTGTCAGTAGTGAGCATCCGTATAAATGACTGCAGAAAGGATCTTGGGAGGATTCAGGAGAAAATACAGAGATTAAGGAAGGATCCAGGTGGAAAACAACACCATCCAAGTGCCCTAACCCAGGAATGGCTGAAGTGGGATCTGTGAAACACCTGAACTTCAGGGAGATGCCAAGTTCTGAGTGCCTGGGGTGAAAAAGGCTCCTGATTTTTAAATTATTTTAATTTTTTCCCTGTAAGGAAAGCACCAAACCCAACCAGGCTCTTCCATAGCCGTGCTCCAGATGTTTGGTTTTTCCTTCTCC